TGTTGGATGGATTTCATTGTGCAACTCAAGCGATTGATAAAACTTGAAGTAGGCTTTTGCATTGGAATGAACTGAAAATATAAAATCGACGCATAAGTATTGAGTAGTTTTTTTTGTTAAAGAATGGGATTCACTTAACAATTATTTTTTTATGCTTTTCCAACTAATTTTCGAGTACACTCTGAACTTTTTTCGATTTTAACATTCAGAATCATTCTTCAAGGAGAACGTGATTCTTTCTATTATCCCAAAGCAAGCAGCCGCTACATAGCAGCACAAGCACGTTTCTTTAATTCTAATCCGAAAAAAAATTCATTCAAAAATATCAAGTTCCAACAAACATTCAAGCCCAGACTCACCGTGTTCCAAGCATTCGCTGTCATACACCAATCGAATGTCTTCGTTTTTCACTTTCTGCACATGGCCGTCATCGAAGAAAATCATCTGATGGAATCCATTTTCATCGGGTGCTCCCAACATTCCCGGATATGGTAGATGGTCGTGGCTATGATAGAGTGGAACTATTTTGCACGAGTCTGCATCGATAATGTATGGTAAATCAACGCTTCGACGAAACGCCACTACTCGAGCTTCACTATGAAAATATTCACTCGGCTTGGCAAAGGTTAATTTTTGTTTTGGCAAATCCATTATTTGATCGTCGAAACGCACAGTGACACTTCTCTCCTCCTCATCGTTTTCATTGATGAAACTTTGTTCGGAGACCAATTGACACTTTTTCCACGGAGCAATGACATATTTACTCTTCGATTCGTCTGCCCAACACTGCTGCTTGTTGTCTGATTGACGTGGCAATGCTATTCGAAAAAAAGATTTCGAAAGGTTAGTTTTCAGTGTTAAAAATACACCCAATTTGTTTGTCCACTTACGCGTTGTAACTGAGACGAGGCAGACGTCTTCATCTTCATCGCTGCTTATTGCGATTGCACATGAATTCGCCATTTTGTATGGCTCGAAATCAACCTCAGCAAACAATCAATGCAAACAGTGTGTATGGATTAGATTCTCACACTGGAACAGAATAGAAATACTGTGTGAATGACATTTGAAGCGAATGGGATTCAAAGCAATTTTTTCCCAATTAAAAATTCAATTTATACACAACCCTAGGCAAAGCTCTATGTGTATTTCGTGTGACTTAGATTCATTTGGCATTCATTCGTGGTATACCTTGACATTTCATTGACATTCCAGTTGGCGCCAGAAAAATCACTCAACGCTTGGTTGCAATCAGCAAGAACAAAAAATACTTTACCTTTTTCAGCTTTTTATCCCAATAATGGCGTTCAATTAATTTTTTTTCAATCGAATCTATCGATGTCTGGTTTTTCTTGCTATCACAATTTTGTTTGGATGAACATAAACTTTTCACCAAAAATTACACACAATTTTTTCGTTTGTGTCTTTGCATGCGGAGCGTCCGATGAATACTGAATTAATTGCTTGAGATTATATGCTGCGACGGCTATGATGAGCCACACCAATGGAGTTGTTTGATTTGTATGAAGTTGGTTATGAATGATCACTGAATGAATCTCTCCAAATTTATTGAATTTGAATTGAACGATTAATCGTTTTGAAGATTCTTCACAACTGTAATATCGACAAGAATTATGATTTTTCGATTGTTTTTAAAATGAATTCAAGTTGGACGAAAAGCGGTTTTAAAAATGTAAATTTAATTGACTGAAAAAAAATGAGTATGCATGATCATCATAACAGTAGCACAAACCTTTCGATGGAACCTTCAGATAATTTTCCACTTTGAATTCGCACTTGATTCTACTATTCTCTGTGGAAAAATGGAGAAAATTGAAAATAAATGAACAAACTATTTGGATGAAGAAGTAAACATGGTGTTTTGTCAACCGTTTCGGATATTTATTTCATAGAATTGGATGTTTCCTGACATTTTCTGCTTAGATAATAATTCAAGTTGTTTTCTTAAAGCTATTTTTCGACGAGAGTTTATTTTGAACCAACTTCATTTTGAGTTTGGATTGTGAATGATAAAAATGAATCGAAATAGAAGTAATATTGAATTTGGCGTCGAATTTTACGATGTATCTATTCAGAGCCAGTACAAGAGACTCTTGTCAAGAGTACATGATTTATTTATATTTGAATGTATTTTTTCTTAATTAAATCAAGTTAATTTCGATGTGTTTTTTGGATGGAAATGTGACTGGCTGCTGTTTAGATATTATGTTTAAACTAGAATGTGTTCACCTGAGCTTTAAGACTCATAGCTAAGCAAAAATAGATTTTACTTATTTCATGAAGTTAAATGTATTTTTGATTCTACGAAGTTGACTTAACGTTCAATCGTAACTTTGCAGATATGGTAATAGCTGTACTTTTTGATTTCACGCCATTCATTGCCCAGCCACTTCTGAAAAGCTTCGTAATCGTTTTCGTTACCGAATGCAACTGTTAGCTTCTTCAGCGATGGGCATTCAGCCACAAAAGAAGCCACTTCATCAGACGGAAAACGGCAATTACCAAAATCCACTTCAACTAATGCTGGCGAAGTAATCTTCAATAGTGCACCCTCTTCACGATGTCCAATCGAAGAAAAAGTCAGCTTGGTAAGTTTTTTGTGCTGGCTGATGAAATCAGTCAACGAATGGTCCGACAAGTGTTGAATTGAGGAGAATTTCAAGCTTTCCAGACGCTGTAGATATGTGCTAACGTTCTGAAGGTATTTGGCATCGAAGTGGCCGCCAATGTTCAGAGTTCGTATGTTTGGGTTTAAACGCACGAGCCCCTCAAAATATTTCTTGTTCAAATGGTTCTTTTCATCAGCTGGAAGGAACAGACTCAAATGCCGAAGTTTCGACAAATGAACAGCGGTCTCGTTACAATCTGATTCGTTTTGATGGTTAAATTCCAAGCGACGCACTTTCGGGAACCATTTATCGAGTTCCGACAGCTTGCTTCCCAATTTGCAGCTATCAAAACAAAGTGTTCTAACCTGTGTGAAAGGCTTCCTCAGATCGTCCAGTGTGCTTGTTTTACAGCGTTCAAATTTGATTTCGACCAATGAATCGGCACAGTATTCGTTGACATAAGCATCCATATGTTTATCATGTGTGATGTCCAATTTTGTAATCAAATGTCCGAAGCAGCGGAGCAACTTTAATCGGAATGACCGTGGAATTTGAACCGTTGGTGGAAACATGTTCCGCCCGAAAATCAGTATGGACTTGTATCTCGAATGGATAAAAATCCATTGTTTCCCATACCGACTCGCGAATACCAAATCCGCTGCTGGTTTCAATTGTTTGTTGGAGTCGGAAACATTCAAGAGATCTATAAGGCTTAGATTCTTAAAAATGGGCTCGAGGCAATCAACATTGACGTCTGTCAACTTTGTGGTGCAAAGGTTGGGATCCGGACCAAGCTTTGCCAGCTTTTCTTCCTCTTCCTCATCCATGCGCCGGCGCAATCTTGTGTAATGAATCTTCGTCGGCTGCTGGGCTGTTTTGTTGGATGCACGCTGCTAAAAATCGAATAAACACGAAATTGTTAGATTTCTGGACCCAAATTCTCAATAAAATATGAAAATTTTGCACACAAATCCATTGATTGTGCATCGACTTTGGTTACAATGTCAATTGAACACAAATTTCGAGGTTAAGTTATGCGTTCACAATATGAGCTCTCTCTGCATTGAAACAAAGAATACATGAAACTAGTTTGATGGTCAATATAATGTTTCAACTAATCCTTTCTAATTTCCCAAAAAAATTTAATTTTGATTTTTACCACGTCTGCAGACACGGTCTCGGATGGTTTAGATCGTTTATTCGCCGGTGGGTTGGCTCCTTCTGGTTGTCGCTTCCGA